CCGCCATCGCCGCCCCGCCACGGCTCGGGGGTCCCCGAGGTACTGTTCTGTGGGGGGGAGGTTGATTTTGGGGGGGTTCCCGCGTCTCCCACGGCTGACGCGGGGTCCCCCCCTGCCCCCCCCCGCCAGGTGAAGCCCCCCCACCCCCGGCGCCCCCCCCCCGGGCTGCTCTTCGCCCTCTTCTACGGCCTCCTCATGGCGCTGCTCGTCGCCGCCCACCGCGCGCTCTTTGGCTGCTGAGGGACCCCCAAAACCCCAGGGAGCCCCCCCAGACCCCCGGGGGAACCCCCCAAACCCCTGTGAGGTGGGGGGGGGTCCCGCCTTTGCACCTTTCCTTCCCCCCCCCCTCTTCTTGTCTTGTGCCTTAACGCTGGGGAAACTGAGGCAGGGAAGGGGGAGGGGCTGAACCCCTTTTGTCCCCCCCGGGGGGTGTGACCATAATTATTCATATTATTATAATTAATTATGATGAGCTATTATTATGAGATTTATTATTATTATGAGTTCTCACTATTATTGAGTTGTCATACAGGACTGTGAGCGTATTAAGTTAATTATTACAGTTAATTGCGACTTAATTATGACAGCGGGACGTAAAAATGCAGATGACCAAAATTTATTGTAATTAATTATTATTAAAATTATTATATTTAACTATTACGCGGTTGTCACTCTAATTACTGCAAAATAATGATTTTTTTTTTTCTCCGAGTATGGAAATCCCCCGCAAAATTGCACTTGGTACATCCCTGTCCCTTTGTGACACTCCGGTCACCGGCTGAGACCAAAACCTGGGAGGGGGGGGTTCAGTGCTGCCCCTCTCCTGCTGCCACTGCTCAGCTTTTTGTCCGTTTTTCTCCGTTTTTGTCCGTTTTTTGTCCGTTTTCGCCCTTTCTCTGCCCAAAAAGGGGACGCCCCCGCTCCAGCTCTGCTGCGCTGCCCCCCCGCCCCGCACTCCCCAAATCCCCCCTCACTAATTCCGCCCTTCCCCAGCAGGTGCGGGAGGAGCCGACCCCGGCCAGGGCCCCGCGCGGGGGGCTGGGGGTGTCCCCCCGCCGGTGCCCCCGTTAATTAATTCCCTTCCCCCCTCCCCGTTAATTCCCCGGTACCCCCGTTAATTGCGGGTTCGCCGCCATCTTTGTTGAGGGCAGGCCACCACAGCCGTGCCCTCACCGGCGATGCCCCTGCCGCCATATTGGCTGAGGGCACGTAAGGATCTATGGGGGCGCCATCTTTGCCGAGGGCAAAGCCGTGAGGAGCGGCGTCACCGCGGCCGCCATCTTTAGTGAGGGTACGCCGTTTCTATCGAATTTATACATTAAATATCGCCATAAATCTCCGGAAACGACAATAAAACCTGGTCCCGGCGGGAGAGGCGGAGCAGCGGCGGTCATAGGAAGGGGTTGGTGGTCCGGTGCCTGAGGCCGAGCGGCACTGCCGGGGTCGGGAGGGTCTGGGGGGGCACCAAGGGGGTCAGCGGCACAAAAAGGGGGCTCGGGACCCCCCCATAGCCCCCCGGTGCTCACCACGAAGGGGTTGGTGGAAGCTTTGGCAACGTTGAACCCACCGAAAGGCGACCCTGGGTGGGGGGGGAATGGGGAGGGGTCAGTGGGTGGCTGGGCAGTTTATATATAAATACATATATTTATATAATTCAACATTTTTAACACCCCCAGCTCTTACCGTCAGCCTGGAAGGGGCTGGGGAAGCCCCCAGGAACGGGAGGAGAGGTGAAAGCAGCTCCTAAATGAGGGGACACGGAATTGGGACCCCCAGACCCACCTGGCTGGGGAACTGGGGGGGTCTGGGGGTCACTCACCAGGGCCGCTGCTCTGGAAGGGGTTCCTGGAGGGTCTGGGGGTCGTGAAGGGGTTGGTGCAGCCTGGGAGGGTGGGCACAGGTTCCCAAAAACTCCTGGGACCACCCAGAGTAACAGAGACCCCCAAAACCCCCCCCGTAATGCTCAACAGAAATGGGGTTCATGTTAATTCTGGGTGGGAGGGAACCCAAAATTCCTTCCCCCCTCCCCAGAAATTCTAGGCCCCTCAGATTGCCACCAAATCCTTCCCCACTGGCCCCAGAGGAGCCGTGGTGGGACCCCCCGGCCCCCTCCCCAAAACCCCACGGGGATGGGGAGACCCCAGCTCCCCCCTGCCCATCAACCCCAGGTGTCCCCAGGATATGGGGGACCCCTAAACCCCTCCCAAGGAGGGTCTCCAGAGTCCTGGGGGGTCCCTGGGTACCTGTGGGGGTGGGTGGGACGTGGAAGGGGGGCACAGCCCCCCCAAAGGTCGCTGCTCCAGTGCTGGTGGTGCCGAAGGCGTCGGAACTGGGGAAGGCAGAGCGGGGTGGAGCCGGGCCTGGGGACAGGGCTGGGCTCACTCGGGGGTCCCCGGCCCCCCGGGAGACCCCCGTGCTCCACGGGGAGCCCCTCAGAGCCCCCCGCTCACCGGGGAAGGCGGCGAATTCGGGCGCGGGGGCCGGGCAGGCGAAGGGGTCCCCCCCGATGTCGGCCAGGAGGTCGGTGCCGGCCTTTGGGGCCGGCTGGGGGGGGCGCTGGGGGGGCACCCGGAGGTCAGGGGGCGGCGATCTCCCCCACCTGTGCCCCCCAGAGCCCCCCAGAACCCCCAGAGCCCCCCGGTCCCACCTGGGGCAGCGGGGCTGCGTCCCCGCGGAGGGGCCGGGGGGGCTCTGCCGCGGCGCTCCGGGGCGGTTTCGGCGGTTCCGGCGCCACGTACCTGCCATAAACCACCGGCTGAGAGACCCCAGCCCGGCTGCCCGCCCCGCAGGCGCCCCCAGCCCCTCTCCTACCACCGCTTCCTCTCGTATTTCTCCTGCAGGAACTCCTTCAGCTTCTGGGGGTCACGGGAGTCGGGCGGCAGCGACGCCCGGGGGTCGAAGGTGCCGAGCCAGACCCGCCTGCAGGCCTGGGGGGGACGGGGAGGGGATGTGGGGATGCGGGAAGGGTGGGATGGAGAGGGAAGGGTGGGATGGACAGAGCAGGACAGGACAGAGAGAGCAAAATACCCGCAGCCGCTCCCTTCCCCAATTTCCCCTCCCTCACCTAAATTCCCCTCCCTCACCCGATTTCCCCTCCCTTACCTGATTTCCCCTCCCTCACCTGATTTCCCCTCCCTCACTCCATTTCCCCTCCCTCACCCGATTTCCCCTCCCTTACCCAATTTCCCCTCCCTCACCTAANTCCCCTCCCTTACCCAATTTCCCCTCCCTCACCTAAATTCCCCTCCCTTACCTGATTTCCCCTCCCTCACCTAAATTCCCCTCCCTCACCTGATTCCCCCTCCCTCACCTGATTCCCCCTCCCTCACCCGATTCCCCCTCCCTTACCTGCTTTCCCCTCCCTCACCTAAATTCCCCTCCCTCACCCCATTTCCCCTCCCTCACCTGATTTCCCCTCCCTCACCTCATTGCCCCGCGCCTGCAGGAACAGCACCTCGGCCTCGCTGAACGTCGTCATGGAGATGGACTTGACGCGGTGTGGGGGGTTCAGTCCCCGCCTGGGGAGGGATTCTGGCGGTCAGCGCCCCCATCACGCCCACAAACACCCAAA